CTGAAATCAGTCAGTTACCTACAAACCAATACCTGAATAATAATTCTAAGTCTATGGCCAAATTTTGATCACAGTTCATATAATTCTGTGTATCATATTTTTATGTCTATTCATAAATCTTATGATTGGACAATGTTTTCATGGACAATATGTGTCCTTTTCATATATACATACACCTTTTTTACTTTAATTTTGATTAATTTCCCCGAAGAAGTTCGGATCAGTTTGCTAAACAAAACTTATTTCAATTTCGCTGAGATTTTACGAATATAATTTTTACATATGTCTTATATTATTTATATATTCGCAATGATGCATTTTTGAATAAAATCTGGCGGTCAGTTATTCACCATCAATGTTTTCCTTATTTGTCGGATATCTTTATTTAAATCATTTGACTTACTTTTCATGCGCTTGGCTTCATTACGTAAACATTTCACTAAACTTACTTTTACTGATTCTGGGTGGTATAAGACCAAATCTAAATACCCGTTAAAATGTGAAGGTTTTTTATAGGGGCTACTGACTAACCCGTCAATCTGCTTCTGGTCTGTTTTACAGTCTAACATAGCTAATTCACTATTTTTATTTCCTAACTGGAAAGTGAATTGAATTCCATCTGCCACTAAGTTTATATGTATGAAGTACTTAAGGATTTGTTTAGATTTTAGCACAGTGACAATGTCGTCCACAAGTCTCTCTCTCATAACCTGGGAGCAATAGTAGACACTCTAAGAGCTTTACGTCCCCAACTATCCATAAGTATGCGTGTTACCACAGAGGGTGTTGATGATCCTGCTACCGACCAATTTGTTTGTTCACATATCTTGTTTTGAAATTTGAATATAGTGGATGATAGACATAACAGCTAGTGTCTTTTTTAACCGAAACCTGAATTAATGGCCAGTGTTCAGCTAATTTCTAACTACTTACAGAACTGCATTAATTGGAATATTAGTGTATAAATAGGTCACTTCAAAATGAATCTTCAAGTGTTGGTTTGTAGGGATTTGATTGGCTACAGGATTTTCATCATGAGCTGACATTGGTTAGAGAACCATTGGAAAACCTGGGAGTACTGGACAGCTGTTTCGTCCTAGTTTGGGACTCTTCATCAGTACGCACCCACCGGGATTCGAACCCATTATTTTTTTTAAATCTGAATTCCGTCACTTGTGAATTAATTAGCCTAATGGTGTTGCTAAATATTGAAATAGTTCATACGTTGAAGTGTTCCTAAATTCAACTATTAGCCTGATAAGCTATCCTACTTTATGTATTGTAATGGTATTATTTATTCTGCTAGGATTAATAATTCTGGGTATTGAATTTAATCATTTTGACTGACTGAGAAACAATTTTATTCAGGTAACTACATCAGCCTTAGAATCTTTGGTCATATTCATAAACACGCGCAATCGAATTGACACAACACTTGTACTGAATGTACGGAAATTCTCAATACGAAGTAAGAGGAAGTGAGGCTATATAAAGTATGTAATGAAGTCTTATGAATGCATTCCTGGGATTGCCAGAAGTAAACTGTGCTCGGAGAGTTATCCGGTTATTAATGCTGTAGCATCGTATGCTACATCAAATAAACTTATGTAATATGGAATACATACTTCTAGCTAAAAGATATATGTATTTACACCTAAATTACGTACAAAAATGAATAACCTTCTTATCGTTTCTAATTAAATCCGTCTAAGATGAGTGCTGAATTTGAAAATTTCAGATAATTTATGTCTCATTCTGTGCAAGAAAGCATTTGTTTCACAATGGTGTGACTCGATCTATTCTTGACTTTGGATTTGCAAGAGCTTATCCAAACTGTAAATGGATTTCATCAAAAACTGACATCTATTTTGAGAATATCAAACTACGGCGAAACAGCTGTTCAGTACTCCCCTCAGGTTTTTCAATGGTCCTCTAACTGATGTCAGTTCATGATGAAATCCTGAAACCAATCGAATCCCTGAAAACCAACACTTGTTTTTAGAGTAGTTAAAAACTATGGATACTAGATTGCTGCAGGGTTATAGCACTAAGTACTCCTGATCTTCCCAATTACTGTCACCGGGATCATCGTATTACACAGGCCATTTAGACAGTGGCTAACGAACAAAGAATACTCTCTTCATGAATGAATGTATGTGCTTATTTCACAAAACACAATCCATATTACTGCAAATGCATCAACAAAACAACCCATTTATGTATCGTATTATGCTTTAGATGCTGTTTCTGTCGTGAATAAGATGGGTTTGTGAAAGATGGTTCCCCACCATACTCATGAACCTGCTAGTATGGCATTTGAAGTGAGCCTTGTCCTCTATTATGAATTGATATTCTTAATTTACTTATGGCCAAAGGTTTTATTTTATCTACGCATTATTACGTATCCACTACTTTGTAAGATATCAAGTCTGGGGATGCCAGATATTCCAATCACCACTTTAACACTTATCTGCCCGTGATAAGATGATTCTGTCATTTCGCTAAACAATGTGAATAACATCCTTTTATCACATAAAGACTAATTAAGCCCACAGGTCATAATTCTTGTTCACAGCTCCCAGAATTCCATCTATGAAATAATTAATAATGAGTAAGTGACTGGTTAATATTTAATATGGTGATGCATGAGGATTTCACCAACTTCAAGGTTGACTTCAGGTGTACGCTTCTACAGAGACCCAAAAGAGGACTAAAAATGTTGTCTACTATAACTTGACTTCTAGTTATTCTCCAACTGCTATTGGCCTACAGTGAATTCTAGTGAACCTTTCTTGAGGCTTGCGACGAAGCAATCTGATAGTAGTGGACCCAACAGGTTCAATAATACCAAGACTTTACGGTCTACCAAAGGTACACAAGGTCGGTCTCCCACTTCGTCCAGTTCTGGATATGTCAGTTTTCCCTTACCACTCTATTGCAAAATGGCTAGCAGATATTCTGGAGCCTGCAAGGAAACAATTATGTACGCACTTGCTCCGTGACACCTTCCAGTTCATCAACTGCATACAAGACATGAATGTGTCTAACAAAATTATGCTGTCCTTCGATATTGAGTCACTTTTCACCAATGTCCCACTCACAGAAACGGTCTACTTCATATGCCAGTATATAGATGACAACCATCTCAATATTGGAATACCAACAACATATTCAAAGGAATTACTACTGAGATGCACTCTGAACGTCCAGTTCACATTCAACGACACCATCTATAGAAAAAAGGTGGTATTGCAATTGGGTCTCCGTTGGGCCCACTACTATCAGATTGCTTCGTCGCAAGCCTTGAGAAAGGTCCACTAAAGCCAAGCACTGACAATTTGCGACTGCATAAAAGATACGTAGACGACATATTCATCATTTGTGACAACAACAATGACCCCAGTCTACTACTGAAGACATTTAACTGTTGCCATCCAGCAATAAAATTCACTCTTGAAATGGAATACAAGTCAAAAATTCCGTTTCTTGATGTGGAACTAACAAGAAGAACTGATGAAAGCCTAAGAAGATCGATCCATAGAAAACCTACTTGGAATGGTTAACTAACAAGCTTCTATAGCTGGGTGCCCATTCAACAAAAGCGGAATTTAATTAAATCACTTGCTACCCGCATCCGACGCATCTCTATTCCCAACTTTCTGGAAACAGAATTAGATATTCTAAGAGAAATTTTCATCCAAAACGAATACCCAATAAGATTCATCGGCAAAAATATCAAACCAAGAATTCGGAGAAACGAAAATCTAATTGCACCTAAAAAGAAACTCTACATGAACTTGGATTTCAAGGGAGATTTAGCAAGCGATATTCTCAAGAGAAGGATCACATCATCTCTGAGAAGAACATTCTTTGCAGCAACGCTAAGAATAGTGTTCTCCAGTCGCCCACTGATCTGCAGAAGCCTCAAGGACAAGATTCCGCATCTGACCACTTCTGTGTGCATATATCAGTTCACCCGCTGCTGTGGAGCCAGGAACATCGGTCGTTCGACGCGCACCCTGTCCGAGAGGATTCAAGAACACTATCCAGCATGGTTGCGAAAAGGCAATAGTGGTGTAATAAGGAGTGTGATAAATGAACACCTGGTTAACACTGATCATTCCATTTCAACAAACGCCTCCTTCAAAGTAATCGGCAGAGTCAAGAACAACCTATCAAAGGCAATACGGTTTCGCCTTCTTTGTATCGCTGAAGCTCTGGCCATTCACATAGAAAGACCGGAGGTGTGCATACAAAAGAGGATTACTCAACCACTTCTACTGTGTTAGTAACAACTTTTTTGACTTGATTTTTTTGATCTTGATGACTTAATTTTGTTTCTTTGCCTGTTCTTTAATTGCTTATAATTCTTGTATTCATTTAGAACTCTTACGTAATTTTGTATTATCTACTTTGTTCCTATGTGCATCCTGAGTAAAACTCACTCATCAAACTATTCATATTATTACATAACTTCTTTTAACAACTGTTTGTGACAACTCATCACCTTTGTTACTGCCCTAATTTCACTAACACCTAATTTTCTTGACTGATTTCGTATTACATAACTCCAATTACCAATCTTCACCTGTTTAGTTAAAATAACCATAACCAGTTGTATTTTGTTTGACAAACTTAATGTACACATACATGCAAAATAACATATCTATATTTGCGATTGTACAGCTAAGAAAATGAATTCACCGAAAAGAGACTCTTCGCTGATCTACGTGTTTCGTTTTCATATATACATATATATATAATACAAACAGGTCGTAAAAACGATACATTTTCAGTGACCTCAGACTTTCAGCTTACATCAATATTCCTAGAAATACATTGTACAGTTAAAGAAAGTGAGTCCTTGAATTGCCTCCAAACAGTTAAACAAGAAATGTACATATAACCATTATAAGTCTACTTTTTGAAAAAAATACATGTCGGTTATAATCAGACCAAACATAAAGACAAAAGAAAAAAAGTTGATTTTAAATCATTACCAATGACTTCATTGTCCATTTTTTATTCACTTTTTCACTTATCGGTTGATCGCCAATGTTTGATAATTTACAGCGGATAACATTTAATGGTTTATTTGTCTTTTTTTGAAATAACGTCGACTGATTTCGATCTATTAATTGCATCATTGCTATTGTATAGTGTTGTTTAAACTTTGGGAAGAATTAAAGTTTAAATAGTGTGTCAGATGTATTGTTACCAGTCAATACAAACAATTGTGTATCACTTCCAAAAATAATACAAAACAGTAATGATAATAATGAAGGAAGAATCATGAATTATGCTCATTATTATTATTATTATTGTTATTTCATTGATCGATAAGTTCAGATACTTACTGGTCATCTGAAAAATTGATTCATTTTGATTGGATATCTTTAAGTCCAAATATTTTTTTGATGGCTTCTTTTCCGTGGTAGTCAGGTTTCATTAATTAATATTTTACGGATTTTGTATAGCGTTCGTAATAAATTATTGATTTAAGTTTACGTAAATTACATCCTTATATGTAAAGTACTATAACAACCATTGTCATAATAATAATAACAGTTACTGTTGTTATGACTTCAGGTTAAATTCTTTCTCAGTATTTCAGAGACAGTTACTAAAAAAATTGGTGTTTTAGAAGATGAAAGTGAAGGCTATTAAATCCTATCGAAATTTTGTGGCCTTCATTTTAACCTTAGATGAAGAAGCTTTATCTGATCTGGTCATACTGTGGCCATGTTGAATTAATTAATCAAATATTTTGTAGATCAACACTGTGCGATTTGAGTAGTAGTAGTAGTGTGGTGAGTGCTACTTATAATCCGATATAAGTAGTATATCAGAAACGAATTCAGAAAAGTAACAATATGTTTTGCACACTGGAAAGAGCAATCAAAGAAGAGAACCATAAGAAGAATATTGCCATATGATGCAGAATTCAAGAAGCTATCGAATGTTACGATATTCGACCAATTCGTCAAGGATGCGGTAAATGATGTGCAAACGGCAATTTGAAAATATGGTATACCATATTTACCTATGTACAATACGTTTCCCCTAATAAACATTCCTTTCAGCCTCCTCGGTCTTTTCTTCCTTACAGTAGTAGTAGTTGTAGTAGTAGTATTAGGTGCAACACATAGATAGTTTTAATAGTGGTGTATCAGTCCGCTGAATTCTGTCGGAACCTTTCAATTTGTCAATAGTGTAATTGGAACGAACTGACTGACTGACCGGTTCCAACATAGAACTTTGCACAAATGTGCAGCAGTTCGAGTTACCACACCCCATGTGGCACACAAAGCGACAGAAGAGCGTAAATGGAGGTCAAAAAAATAATAAATGGAAGTGTGAGGGAAAACGAATAGTAGTAATATGGAAAAACAAATAGAGTTTTGTTGGATATGACAAATCACAATCAGTGACTGTATCTGCACCAGCCATTGAGAATGAGGATTTTGAGCCATATCACCAATTGTCTCCAGCCGTCAGTGGTTCATATCATCCCAAGGACCCCAACCAGTCAAGAGGTCTGCCCCTCCCCACGTCGCTGGCTGGCTTAAACTAACTGTTGCAGATTTCATTGACTGATGAAGTCATGTTTTGGTTTGACCACCACTAGCTCTTTTCCAACTTGATCCCATGTCAGCTAACATTGCCCATCAAGGAAAGCGACCGCTAGGCATGCGTAACACATATCTTAACCATCTCAGTCTATGTAGCATAACAAACTCGTCAACTGATTTCCCTCCTTACATAGCACTCGACCTCAGTATTGCTTGCCTAATTACACTGACCACTTAATACGGGAGACAGAACGCATGTCCCTATGATCAAAGACATCTAGCCAGCCCTCTCATGTTTTCCACTTCCAATGGACGTTTCTAAGAGGTAGCCATGAAGGAGGACGGATAGAATTGCTAATGTGTAGTACACACGTCCTTTGATCGACAGCCAGCCAGATAGCATGTCTGCTAAGCGAGAGATGGCATAATGTGCCATATGTCAAACGAGTCCTCTGTATCACTGCTGAGATGGCATCAGCGATCAACCAGCTGGCGTTGGCTGATACAATACCCCAAATAAGTGAAGCAGTTAATACGCTCCACTAATCACTTCAATTCTGCCCATCTTTAAGCTAGGAGTGAGTCAATGTATTCCAGTTGTGTATTCATCATTTTACATTTGACAGGAGCGAATCGCATGCCAAACATTGGGAGATCTCTGCTCCCGAAGGCATTAAGAAGACTCTGCTTTGTTTTGTCAGTGTCTTCATCTCAACAGAGAGGGAGAGGACTATATCGTCTGCATAATCTAAGTCAACGAGATTATTCCCTGTTGATAACAAGTCAGTCCCTGAGTCGCTGAAATCAGCATTTAGTCCGTTAGTACATTCATGGTAAAATTAAATAAAAATGGTGACAGTGGAATCGCTAACGGAGACCACTAGTTGTCACCACTTCAGATGACAACACTCCGTAGACTCTCACCTGGCTGACTGCATAAGTTCGAGTAGAGTACCTTGATCAGTGAAATATGCTCTCTCGGCATTCCTTTCACAACCAAACATCGCCATAGTACCTCTCGGTCGAGGGAATCAAATTCCGCTTTCAGGTCAAGAAATATGACAGTTGCTGGACGCCGGTAAGTGTGCCCATGTTCCAGAATCTATGGAAGGGTGATGATGTGATCAGTATACCCTCTTCCTGGTATAAAGCTTGTCTGGTTTTCTCATACTTGTTCCTTATGGGCACCACTCAGTCTACGCATTTATACAGTGACCATTTCTTCTATTATCTTAACTGCTCTCTTGATCCACTAAAATATGGCAAAATAAAGACCAATCTGTGACTACGATTATTATTGTCATTCAGAAAAATAGGAAAACTTGCATGAAATATTTGTTTACACGAAGTTAATCAACGACGTGATCTGTTTTCTTATAGAGACCGACCGTGTAGGATATGAAACTCGAAAACGCCATAAAAGCGTACTAAATATAACGAATAAAAGTTCGAATCTTCATAAGAAATAATAAATATCTGGATTCTATACATTGATAAGATAAAACACTACTAAATCCTACAGGATTTAGTAGTGTTTTTCGGTAGAATCGACAATGCTACAAATCCTAGGACTCCTGTGAACACTATGGACCATGTGTAGTGAGACTTGATGGTTTTAACATTCAGATTACTATGTTTCTTTTTAAACTTGCACTGTACTCATAGTCGTCTTTTATTTCAGATTGCATTTCATTTACCGTATTATGTTATCCCAGATATCCAAATCAAACAGACAATGTTAGCGCAAAATTTGTACGGAGAAAAATTAAGAGTATCTTCATTTGTGGGGTAATACATAATGTCTTATTTACGAAAATGGAAACTCTCAGTCCTTAAAGTAATGTAAGTCTACTGTGTGCACTTCATTTGTATTGACTGGAAGATGATTTCGGGATTTTATCAAAGATAGTCTTAGTTTCAAAGAACCTAAGTAAACTAGAATAGCTTTAGAGGAATGCGGGTAATTTCCTACTTCGCCTTTGTAATCCACAAATTACGGGCAGTAATGAAGGTCCTACTTATCTTTTTGCATTCTGAATTCTTATGATATACTTTGTGATATTACTGAAACAGGATAATAAATATTATGGACCAAGGGGACCATTCCGTTCATAGAAAATAAGTGAACCGAAGAGATAGTAATGAATGCATTTGTTACAATGATATTTCTGTGGTTCCAGAGCTAGACAACTTTGATGTAGCCCCAAAATCCTCATTAAGTCATATAAAAGAAGAGGCGTTCAGTAAGGAGTTACTCTTTCCACCGGTATCATTCTCTAGCTGTATATTTTCATATATATATATATATATGTATATATATATATATATCTTTATACTTATAGAAGGATTCTTGGAAAAGTTAACTCTTTGTTCACTGAACGATATCTTTAATCAAATAATATTTAGCTACTTAGAAGTAGTTTGTGTCTAAAAAATAAAGAAAACAAGAGTTTGACTATCACACGGTAAAATTGTCAAGAGTAATGAAAGCATTGAGTGTATATGTATGGACAAAAGGTGAATTTTTATTCCTCAAAAGACAGATTACTTATATATAGCTGTTGCAAAACGAAATCAGTGATATGTTCTGACCAAAAATCTTCACAAAACTGTAACAAGTTCCTTTCGAATATGATGAATGAAACTTGTCTGCCATTGTATTCAAGGTTGCCATCAAATCACTCTCGCTTCTCGAAAGTATTAACGGATTGATTTTCCATAAAAAATGAAGCCTTTAGTGCCTCAGTAGTGAAACTGTCTGGTCAACTGAAGATGAAACAATTGCAACAATTGACATCAAGAATAGTGACAACTGTTCCGCGTGAATAGTAACAGCTTGAAGCGGATGTAGAAATGTAAGTTCTGCTGTCGATCTGTTATATCTGAAAACCTTATTGTTTATTTGAATTCTAATGTATAATGGACTAGACGTGCATTTCTAGAGTTTCAGAATGTATACGAAAACAGTAATGAATATTTAACTTGTCTAGATTGAGAATGTTAGCAACAGAGATTCGAGAATCATAATGTAACGACAGAAGGCAAGAGTCAGGCAACAGATCATTTATTAAGGAAATCAACGCATATTTATATATTTTCATGTACATTATGATGGATATTTAAGTAAACAAACACAGTCTTCCGATTGGTTGTTTCTCACGTAAAGTTAATCTTTCATCTATTTGTGACTGTTTCTTGAATGTCAAATCCTCTATATGTTAACTGCATCCGCCTACGCAAAGTCTGCTGTGGTCGTTTTTTGAATCAGTCTTTGTTCACATTTTCTCACGACAAATCTTGGGAACGTAAATATTGACGTAAATTACTGTCTACTAATTTGGCTAGTAGACAGCTCTCACTACAATAATACCATGTGTGTAACTGGTCTATTGAGTTACATTTTTACGCTGAACTTCAAAGTTGTATGTAAAACACCAAATCCCTTGATCAATAATGCAAAAGCGTTTATCAGACTGACCTCTATTTCTCTTATGTTTCATAACAGTTCACCTGAAAACGATCTATAAAAGAACCTTTAATTTTCTCATGATGCTGAAGGATTGCTTTCACGTAGA